ATAATAACAACTTTAATTTGTTTCACAGTTCAACCTATTCCCATAAAGCCCCATGTAAATATCCTTCGAATATTGATTTTTTCATAGCTAAAAATGTTAACAATAACTATTCCTGTCTCACTTTAAATGACTTATCCTCCAATCACTTTCCTATCATTCTGGCTCTTGATAACTCCTCCATCGAGAGAAAATCTCTTAAATCTTATAAAGTCAACTGGAAAAAATTTAAATCTTTTACTATGAAATGGAAAATAAATCATAATTTATCTAACGAATCTGAAATTAATCTTTGTATAAATAATTTACAGCAGTTTCTTTGTCGCACTTCTAGGCAATCTTCTAAATTATTAGACTATAATTTAAGTTATATCACTGACGATCCCACAGTGGCTGCGGATCTTAATAAACTTATTAAGCTTCGTAATTACTATCGTCATAAATTTCAACGTTCTGGTCTAGAAAAGTAAGCGATATCGCAATGTTCTCACATCCATTATTCACAATATGATACGTGACGCTAAAAACAAGAAGTGGTCTGAACGATTATCGAGAGCCAAAACTAGCGATAATAGTATATGGAGTTTAACCAAATCTCTCCAAAGAAATAAAACTCCTGCGCCTCCCTTTTCCTTGGATAACGGCGCGTTTGCTTACGACCCCGGTGAAAAAGCTCAGCTCCTGGCTCAAAACTTTTATAAAGTTTATCAGGACGCTGATGGACTCACTTCCCCTCATGAAGCTGTGGTTAACAAATTCGTCAATAGTTTGGATGATTCCTCTCCTAACTGTAATCTTGAGTTTATTACTCCCCGTTTAATCTACGATATTATTAAAACTTTCCCTAACAATAAAGCTCCCGGTTCTGACAAAGTCACCACCTCTATGCTTAAGAACTCATCCTTTAAAATTATCCTGCAAATTTATTACATAATTTTATCTTCTTTTTGTTTGTGTTACTTTCCATCTTGTTGGAAAACGGCTAAAGTCCTTGCCTTTCCTAAACCTGGCAAATCCCAATCCTCTCCTGCAAATTATAGGCCAATTAGCCTATTGAGCGTGCTCAGTAAAATCTATGAGAGGGTTTTGTTAACTCAAATTAATTCTTTTCTTTCTAAAAATAAAATCATAATCAATGAAAAATTTGGCTTCAAACCGCGACATTCCACTGTTCAGCAGCTTCTCAGAGTAACGGAGGCTTTTGCAATGGAAATTAACAAAAAACGTAGTTCAGCCATGGTGCTGTTGGATATTCAGAAGGCCTTCGACTCTGTCTGGCATAAGGCTTTATTATATAAATTAAATCTTTTGAGTTTGCCTTTATTTATTATTAAGATTTTACGCTCTTATCTACAGGATCGTTCCTTTTTTGTTTGCTTTGAGGGGGGTCAGTCTTCCGTTTTTGATGTCCCTACTGGGGTACCGCAGGGCTCTATCCTGGGATCCGTGTTGTTTAACATCTTCATCAACGATATACCTAGAAATCCTAAAACCAGCTTGGCGGTATACGCGGACGACACCGCCGTCTACACGTCGTCGTGGTGTCCGGCGTTGCTTGTCCTTAGGCTGCAGGAGCATGTTGATGCTATCGTTCAATTCCTTCGGGAATGGAGGATGGTCATCAACAATGAGAAAACTGAGGCGATTATTATTACCCGCAAGGTATTCCCGCTGCCTCCATTGATTAAGATGGGAAATTTTGACGTTCCATGGTCCAGGGTGGTTAAATACCTGGGAGTAAAGATAGATACGGGTTTTCGCTGGGGTCCTGCTGTTAGTGATAGAGTCTCTAAAGCTTATGGCGCTATGAAGAAGCTTTTCCCTCTTATTGCAAGGGGGAGCGATCTTTTATTAAAATATAAACTGCTTTTGTATAAGACTTGTGCCAGACCGGTTTTGCTCTACGCTGCTCCTGTGTGGGCCCCCGTGGGTAAAACTTACTTTGAACGCTTGCAAATTTTGCAAAACAAATTTCTTCAAATTATTCTGGATTTGCCTCGGGGCACGCGGGTCGCTGACCTTCATGTTCAGGCTCAGATTCAGCCTATTAGTGAAGTTGTTACCGATATGGTTAATAAAGCGTACAACCCGGAGCATGATAATCCGCTTATCCGTGACGTTGGCAACTACGACATTGGAGATGTTCCTATGAGAATAAGATGTAGATTGCCCAAGCATTTCTTACAGGATTAGATGTAATATATTCTTTGATATATTAATTCCCTTTCACCCTTACTCCCTTCTTCTCCTAGCTTGACATGGGTTTTTTTGCAAGTTTTTCCCAAACGCTTCACTCTGGAATGAAACGTACTTCCAAGATCTACTTGTCATTATATATATTTATTTATGTTTATGCTATATGCGGGTTGTAGGCTAGTTCCTGGGTACCGCAACGTGGACATCGGATCAACAAAAAAAAAAAAAATTTAGAGAAAAGAGATATTTTGCGTAGAACGGAAGGGAAGAAGGGAATCTAGATGCTAGGCCGGATCAAAACGAAATAGAAGAGAGAAAGAGCGAGAGAAAGAGAGTTCTTAACAGGAAGACCAGGCGAGGACGAGATAGGGGAGGAAAGAGAACGAGAGAAAGAGAGAGGGATAGGTGCTGGGATGGGCAAGAAGCGGCACGACCGGCGCCGCGGCGGTCTTGAGGCACTTCCCACACAGTAAAAAATCGTGCGTCCAAATGTTAAAATTTTCTTGTGTTACCAAGATTTGACTATTATTTCAATGTAAAATTAACATACAACAGCTATGTTATTATTTTCGTAACATTTTCATGTGTTATATTAATGTCAACGGGATAAACTTAACACTTTATGTATGTCATTTAGAAATTGAATATTATTTTAAGTTCTTTTAACATAATTATTTCAAAAAATTAACACGCCTTAAAGTTATTTTAACATAAACAAAAGTTAAAGTAAATCTTCAAATAATCGTAAACTTTGACATACAAAATAATCAAATTTACTACAATCAAATGTTCAAAACAACATTTCTCTTAAGTTGAAATAACTATCGTTTATTCAAATATGTTATATCGACATTTTTTACAAGTTATTTTTACATTATACTTAAAGTTAAAAGAACAAATATAAATGTAAAATATAGTGTCAATAAATTAATTAACATTTCTAATTTGTCAACAACTAACACACGATGAATGAGTTATTTTAACTCAAAATTTAGAGTGGACTTTCTGGGACATTTGAAAAATGTTACGATTAACATTTTATTTTTTACTGTGCACGGGAACTCCGCTCCATGTGGCGATGTTTGGTCTCGACAATGCCGGGAAGACGATCGCCCTGTACAGACTCATATTTGATCAGTATATCAACACCGTGCCGACCATTGGCTTCAATTGCGAGAGAATTTGCGGCGGCATCGGGAAAGCTAAAGGTACGTCTCCCATAATTTTCCACCCTTTCAACCGTTTGTGTCTCTAACGCTATGTACTCCGAAACTACCGAGTCTTTGCCCTTTTAATGGCAGTCTCTTTGATGACTAATTTAGATGATCTTTGATTTTCTTTTCAGCGGAATTGTCGTGGTATCGATGTTTCTCGAGTTACACGCGATCGAAGAGAATGAGCTTTTCGCAAATTAAATTTTGAGGAGCCAAGCAGATAGCAATTATTCGCTTCAGTTTTAATTCCAGATAGAATTGACTTCAATAACATTTTAATATATACGAGTCTCTTATTGTTAGTTAAAGAGATATATATGGAAATGAGAAAGTTGCAATAAACGATGGTTTCTCTCGAACATTTTCGATAAGAATAAAAATCGATTTTAAATTAGCCGAGAAATGAAAAGGACATCCGGCACTTTTAGAATGCTGTATATTACAAGTTTTGATACAGTCTTCGCATTTATCTTACCCCTTTTCTTTTACTCCTCTTTTTTGCTTTTCACCAGTTGAGCCTCCATAAGTTGGGTCTCTCCTACTTCTCCTCTCTTCTACTATTTAATTTTTATTTTAATATTGCTCATCTAATTCTACGCATATATCATCACTATTATGAGTTTGAGCGGAGATTGAAAAATACTTATCAAGAATATAAAAATCGCTCGGATCTTAATGATTGAATAGAATATACAAAAGTTGGATTATAAATGCAACAAGTCGCGGACACTACTTTTGGGCGTTTGCATTACGGTATTTTTTTTCTCATTAAAACGCAGTATTTTTTTTTTAAACACAGGTATCAGTTTCCTTGTGTGGAACGTCGGTGGGCAAGAGAAGCTACGGCCGCTATGGAAATCTTACACGAGATGCACCGACGGTATAATTTTCGTTGTTGACTCCTGCGACATTGAGCGGCTCGAAGAGGCGGAAATGGAAATTACCAGGACAGCGAGGAGTCATTGCGGGTGTGCCGATCTTGATTCTCGCCAACAAACAAGATTTACCTGGTACAACTAATATTATAAAACTTACCATAAATTATGGACTGAACGTCTTTTTAATCAAAAAGTACTCGTTTACTTAATTTTTGTTTTCTATTTAACGCATTTTTTCCCCGAATTATTTTTGCATAATATGACGCAGCATACTTACGCACATTACACACTTGTTCTTGTGTATACACTCGATTATACGTTCGTTAACAGTTGGTCCAAATGACCATAGCACGCGCGATTGCGTTTAGTCATTTCCGCGTCATCACGAACGTCGTGTCTTTCCAAAGTTATATCACATACTACGAGAGATTGCATAAAAATCTGAATAAACGCACATTTTTTTAAATATAGGATTTTTTTGACAAAATTTTTTTTAAATATTGGATTTCTTAAGAAAAATTAATTAGTGACTCTCTCAGAAGAGACGTGAAGTATATACTGTAAAAAAATATTATAAAAGTAAAAAAACCATCCAAGATCTAAAAGAAATCTGTCGTCAAAAGGATATCCCGTGATTGTGAGATATCCTATAAAACTAATAGCACGAGACATTTTTCTAAAGATATAAATAAATACGACAATATCATTTAGCCATTAGATTTTTTTAATAATTATCAATTAAATGCATAAATTTCGCAATTCCGAATACTCCGTTTTACGTACTATAAAAGTATAAGTTCATTTTTTAATTGATTACTGTTACGTTACGCATACCTATATATATCGTATATAATAATTACACATATAAATCAAATACAACTTTATGACTGTTATTAAAAAATAAACCGGAACTCTATTTCTAAGAAAACTTTCATTCCAAAGAATGAGTTTTGTTAAATAAATTATATTAAAACTTACATTAGAAATACGAAAAAAATACAAAAAACGGCAAATATATATTTTCCTTTATCGTTGCTCGATAATAAGGTGAACACCACCTTTTATAGCGAGACCAAATGATTTCTCATTGTAAACGATTGTCGCTGTCCGGGGATGAGGTTTAAATTTATATCTTGAGAGAAGACTCGCGAGTCCAATTTTTATGACTAATTCTCCAGATCGCCTTCCTAAAATTTAATAATACCAATGGAATAAAACTTATATAAAACATTTGTGTAGTAACTTATTATAGATTTAGAAAGTTTTTTCTTATCAATCTAAAAAGTATTTGCTCATCCTTTTCATAGAGAAAAAACCGCACAAACATTTAGAAGATTAAATTATTAATTAATTTATTAATTAAATATTTTTATAAATATTTTTGCGAAAAATAGGGAAACCAACATATAATTAAGTGTACATTTTAATTAAGTTACACTTAATTAAAATATGTTAGTTTCTCTTTTTTTCGCAAAAATATTTATAAAAATATTTAATTAATAACCGTGATTATTTATAGATTAACATACCCTCCTTTAATGACTTTAATCTTGACATATGTTGTCCTGAGTAACTTTTTCTTATAACTCAATCGTCGGTCATTATTTAAAAGATATGAACAAACGAATTTAAATGAAATATATATAATTTTCGAACAACGTGTATGTAAGAATAGTGAGTTTGTATGTAGACCTACTGTAGGATATCACAATGTTTATTATTGCTTATTAGAAGCTTTCACTTCTCTACTATTTTGCCAGTTTTTGCGTTACTCTTGTCGAGTTTTATTATGTATCTACACGAATTTCTACATTTAACAGTTTGTGTCAGTTGCCAAGGAAAGTAATTTCCTGATATATGTGTATAGACAGTGCACATGTAAGCGGGTGAGGGGTGGGTGGGGGTGGATCTCGATTCACGTAAAAAGTTGAAAACTTGAACCGTAAAATAATAGATCTTGTTGCGCTCTGTAAGCTAAGATAGGATGGGGTGGATCGAAGCGAGGTTCACCACACCCAACGCCGATCTACTTATAGGGCAAAACAAGGTTTCTTATTGTACGGTTACATGTGTACTGTCTATACACACATATATCTTTAGAAAGAAATTACTTCCTTTAGCACTGACACAAACTGTTATATTTCTCAAACTTTTTTGTTCTCAACTTTTAAATAAGTAATAACCGACGATTAAGTTGTAAAGAAAAGTTACTCAGGGTTATGTCTTTGACAACATATGTCAAGGTTAAAGTTATTGGAGGGGGGGGTACGTTAATCTAAATATTCTAAATAATTACCAAATACACTGAGAAAAAAAATTGTTGATTCAATAGCATCTGTGTTATTGAAAAATATTTAACTGATTCAACTACAACGCTCTTAATACTATTATATGGAAAGTATAATCCAAAAACTATATACATATTTGTTTCAAAAAACGTAGTAATATTGAAAATATTTTTTGATTTAATGACACATTTCATTGCTTGAGATGCATATGCAATTTCACCAAAATTAGATATTTAATAGCAAATAAATTTACTTGATTTTGAAATACTATAATTGATACAAATAATTATACTTAATGCGTTAATCCGTACTGTGATTGAAACAAGCACACTGTTGTAGAGATTGAGATTCGTAATAACGCCCGCAATGCGAGTGCAGTGTTGTCAATCTGGTAATTAAATTGACAGACCTTGTATTTCTGTGTGTCAAGTATTTTTAACAATTTTATGAGTACGTTTCTATTTCAACGGAAAGTAGATAAGATTGGCTGAAATATAAATATGCAATCCTCTTAATCCCACGTTATTGCAATCAGTATACATATTTATTTAGTGTAAGTAAAAACGCCATTGAAAGCAATATCTGATTCTGTCATCAAAAAAATTCATTTTAACAAATATATATTTATTTTATTAGAAATAAAAATGTGATTTATATAATTCAATTTTTGCCGGTATTACCAAGATAAACGTTTTCACCGCTAGGTGGCCTTATTTCTCAAATGTAAAATTCGATCAGAGACCGTAAATAAGGGCCCACGGCGAAAGCGTCTTCACTCGCAGTTCTATCATTGAAATTCATCACTCGGGTGATAGATATGATAATTATTTATTATTAATATATTTATATATGTGGCAGTCGACCAACCGCCACATGTATAAATAAATAAATAATAAATAAATATTTAAGTAAAATAATGCAATTTTATTAATTACGGTACGTGTCTTATCAATTGCAAAAATCATTGCGATAACTACATATTCATTTTGTGAATGTAAATTTGCAATTGATTGGTGGTAAATACGTAATCCTCTCTATTAACTATATCTTTTTTCTTTCCAACTAAACCTGTATTTCAAAAAATTTAAGTTGTGATTATATAATTCAAATCTAACAGGTAATCCTCCAATTATGTATAGCATACTTTTGATAAGACTGCGTTTTAGCAATCAGAAAAAATATATAGAGAATAATATAATGATGTTGAAACAATAAATTATAATGTTAACATTGCAATAGCAAATATTATTGCAATAAATACATCTTTTGTTGGCACCCCGCAATGAGACATTTCGTTGAACTAACTTATATTTTTTTTCATCCAATTACTTTTTTTCTCAGTGTACATTTCTTAAATATAATTAAAAAAGTTTTTAAGACACAACTATTGTGGCGCTTCTCATTGTGAAATAAAATGCAAAAGACAGACATGCACAAGACTATAAAAATAATTTGAAACAATAATTCGATATATAAATTATAGATATATTAATGAATTTAATCACATCCTCACCAATGCACATACGACGCCCTTCTCCAAATGGCAAATAAGCACAAGGATGCCTTCTTGCTGTCTCGATTTTATTAAATCGTTCTGGATCAAAATTGTCCGGATCCGGGTATATTGTCGGATCTCGGTGCAGCCCAAGCACCGGTATAATTATTGGAGTCCCTTTGGGGACACGGGTGTTTAACATCGGTAAGTCTATAGTTTCAGTGCAGATGCGGTTCAACATTGGAAGTGGGGGGTATTTTCTCAGAGTCTCTGGAATATGTAAAAGAAAAGTATGAAAATATATATTATCCAAAATACAAACAATTTATTTAAACTTACATATTAATAACGAAATATTTTTGTTACTTATTATAATACTTGCCATTTATTACTTTTTTAAGATACTTCATCTCATTAATAGCCTCGTAGGTGAGATCACCATGTTTTGCCAACATGTCGTCAATTTCCTCGCGAACTCTGTCCTGTATATCTTGATGTTGCGCTAATTCGTATAGAGCGAATGTTGCTGTCGCCGCGGAGCTTTCAAAGCCAGCAAAAAAAAAGGCAAAAGCCTGCGCGGTAGCTTCCGCCATGGTAAGCTTATTTATGGTTGCTGCAAGTAAATTTCATAAGTTTCTTTAATAATCTATTTCAAGAGAAATCTCTTAATTATTTGATATTAATATAATATATACATTATGTATTAAAAATATATATTTACATTTTACGTCGCTCTTCTTGTTATCGTCAGGATCAACGTAGCCTCTCTCCATAAGTTGAATGAGCAAATTCATAAAGTCCTGCGTTACGATATTATTAATTTTTCTGCGTTCCACATTTTCTCGAAACATATTCATAAAAAAGCTGGTGGTCTCTCGGTCCGCGAGGGATATGGAAAAGAAATCCATAATTTTTGGCAGGGACACAAACAGGATAAATCGTAATATTTTTATCCTTAAAAATTTTTTTCCTTGGATTAGATACTCATTATTCGGATTTTCAATGGAGTTAGACCATATGCCAAAAGCAGTTGACATTATTACGTCTATGGTATATCTGTTGATCAAATTGGTAAATAATTTTTACTAACTTTTATCAAATTCTATCAAAATGTGCGAAACATCAAAGATGTTAAAAAATTATTGAAATTATGAGAAATAACTTGCACTAATAAAGAAAGATTGATATATAAAAAATTAAGTAAAAAAATTTCTTTATACAAATATGCTGTTTATCTTTTCATAATATTTACATTTTTTATCTTTAAATTCAGAAGTTTCTATTCCTTGTTGTTTGCAAAACTTTGTTTAAGTAACAATTAAAAAAAGTTATTACCTTCCAAACATATCTTTCATCTCAACAGAATCTCTTGTCTGTGCTTTCCTTTCTAAATAATTTGCCAGTCTTTCACTACATTCCTTGGCAATTGGGAACATCCTCTTTATTTTTGCCGGAGTAAAAGTAGGTGACATCTTGTGGCGCAGATCTTGCCATTTCTTTCCATTTACACAAAATAAATTTTCAAATAATGGATTAAGTTTTGGATTAAAATGTATTCCACGATCATGGAAACTTGAAAAATTTTTTATTAACACTTCTTGGATAAGATCGGGATCGGCAATTATCAAATATGGTTTAAAAAATGCATATATTCCTATAGCTCGATGTTCCTTATGCTTCATATAGAAATTTTGCAAAAATACACCTGTTGAAAAAGCTCCTTTTTAGATAATTCTGCGATTTTTTTTAAGTAGAAATACAAATAAAACAATGTAAAATAAATGTACACTGAGAAAAAAAAATCGTTGATTTAAAGAAATATTATTTGATTCAACTAAATGCAGCGGTCACGGGCTGCCAAGCTAACATTTGTTAATTCAGAAAATATTATATTGTTGCGCTCGCCGGGTTTCTCACTTTCTCACAAGCACTCGCGGCGCGCACTCCGTCACTCTCACAGAAATAAAGAAAGACTCGTTATTACCGAAAGGAACTTCTTTAATAAATGGCTCGATAATACAGAGAGCTCGGGATGACACGTCCGAACGTGACGATATCCCAGCTAAATCTGAACATCAGGTATAAACAACATCTCGTAGAAAATCAATATTTAATTGAACATCGGGAAATCAATATTTCTAAACAGGCGTTACTAAGGGCGATTCGCATCTTGACGGAAGTCGGCCCGTTGCACGCTTCAGCTCGGAGTCAGAGAAGTATACCGGGCGGCGCGCACGCAACA